ATCCTTGCTGGGAAAAGTGTTAAGAACAAGAAACATATTGTCACTGTTCAGATGCGGTCAAGGTGAAGTGGGGAGACTGAATGAAAGTTACAACAATGTGACAAAAGAGAGACACAGATCCATTTAGTCTTGGAAGGAACAGAGCAGGAGGCACAGAAGGCTAGTTCATGTGTTGCTCCTAAGCTGATTTTTGCTGTTATTTTATCATAGTTTCAGAGGGAAATGATGTATGCCCTTTTGTATCTCCTGACTTTGTCTTTTAAGAATAACACTTAGTTTCTTTCTCACTAGTGACCTCATTCTTTTTTAACACACGGCAGTAGTATATTGTTTATAATTCTCATGGCTTTTTAAGAAAACTCTCATCGCTGTTGCACGTTGGCAGTAGAGCCTTCTCTTGCGCTTCTTTCCAAACACATGCACTGGATAGTCTTTGTTCCCGATAGCTTGCTCTTTAAGAATGAACAGGGGCAAAAAGGAAGCATTGTGGGGGAGGAAGCACACCAGCCTGCTGGGGATCTCTGTGGCTCCACTCTGCATTGCCATGAACTGCACACAAAAATGATGCTGCTTATAATTCCCACCCGGAAAGCCACACCTGCTCCTTCTGGTCCTGCTTGGGGAGCTAGAAAGGGGTCTACATAAGGCCTCTCCAAAAGAAAGGGAGAAAATGAATCTAAAAAGTGTTACTACCTAAATGGTGTAGCATAAATGCTGAACGACGAAAAGAGAAAAGGACTGGGGAACCCACTGCCATTGCACAGATACTTCACCAGTAAGGCAGAAATTGGTGTGGAGGCAGGATGAAGAAACAGCAGACCATAGCAGTGTTTCATAAGTATGTTACTAAGGAGATAGCCTGGAAACATCTGGAAAAGTCTGGAAATTTCCAAAAGAGATGTTGAAACGGAAGACAGGACATGGTCCATCTCTGGCACTTTGGATCATTTGAGAGAAACAAAGTGTACCTTTTGTGTTTAATACCTTCCACTGAAAAAGCAAGTCTGCATTTTTTGTTATTTTAATTGCTAAAAGCTGTCAGACACCTCAGGAAATCCTCTGATAAATACAACTGCTGTGGTTTTGGACACTGGTTTACAGCTCTGCTTCTGGTGCTATTTTAATGGGGTTTGCGAGTCCTTTCTGATGCACCCATTGTACAGATAGCATATGTTTAGGTCTATACAGTGAAGAGTTTATACTGTGTCAGAGGTGAGTGCACACCAGTGCAGTACATTTACAGCTGAAGGGATGGAGGACGGTCTCCATAGCTGTGCTTTCAGAGATGTAGCTTCCAGCAGAGGGATAGGGTGATTCCCTAGCATTGTGAAGCCAGTATCAATATTTTAAACATTTCTTGCCAATATGTAAACTGAGTGTAGAAAGACTGCTGTTATTTAGGACATCATGCTCTCAAATAGTTCCAGTGAATTATTCATTTAAATATATTTCTAAGCAAAATTTGCAAAGCTAAAAATGTAATCTGGAAATCTGTTAAGATCAATCAGGTGAAAAATCCTCCTCTTGGACGTTTTTTTTTTTTCTCACAGTTTTCTTTCTGTATCCCTACTCCTCATACACCAGGGTTTTTTTATCTCCTCCTTCCTAGCTTTCCCTTGAACTCTTGCCCTTTTTCACTTTCACATTGCCATCCTTTCTACTATTTTTCTATTTCTTTTTGAAGCCTTTCCATCTTTCCTGCAGAAACGCCTTAGTGCAAGTCCCTTACAAACACTTGTAACCCTTCTTGCGGTGGCTCATTTCTGGCTGAAAACTAGAGCTGATACAAAATTTCCTGTAGGCACTTCTGCCAAGAAAAGTTGCCAGGGTGTATCTGCACCTGGTTCAGATGTAGGGTAATTGCATTTCAGCTTTCTGATTACTTGAGATTTTTGAGAGGTTTTGGTGGGCAGTCTCTCTGTTTGATTGTCTACTAAGCAACGCTCAAACTACAGGGTACCTAAAGCTGATATTCATGCAGTTTTCAAATATGCATAATCAGTGGTCTCAGTCAGCAATTAGTATTTCACTAATATCCAAACAAACATAATTTTCCAAATTACACAAAACTCAATCAGAAACTATATTTCATTGTATGTAGTGGAGGATATAAAATACCTAAGAGAATAAAGATTTATTTTTTTTTTTAATTTGAGGATTAGTGCTCTTATCAAGTTTCAAGTTACATGGATACAAAAAAAAAACCCAAGGAAGTTAAAAATCATTCAACATTTTTTCTAAGGCTGTCCCTTATTATTCTACAACTGGGTGCTACATAGCACCAACACTAATTAATATTTTGGGCTGATTTTTTTTAAGCTTATCTTTATTGGTCTGAATCCAGCATATTATCCTTAATTTTTAGATACAGCGTTCCAAGAAATAGGTAAAATGTAAACTGGTCCATTATGTGCATTGGTGCATTAGAACCACTGCAGAACCAAAGTAGTGCATTAGGTCATTCAGGTGTTGGTCATAAGAATTAGTGAAAGACAACTGAATGGGACCGTACTGTTTTAGAGTGGTTCCTGCAGTCTGCAGTCCTTCAGCTTCAAAAGCAACAGAGGCACCGTATGCTGTTACTCATCACACTTGTATTTGGTTCTCAACAGGTTGAAATTTGCTGTTTTCAGACATTAGACACTGGTGCAAAACCCATTATGTGTGTTACATTTCAATGAGAGAGGAACGCTTAATCCTGCTTTGCTGTCTATAGTTGTTTCAGGTTCATTTATAAAGAGAGGTCTTCCTATGGGATCTATAAACCACACATTACCTTTTAGCTATGCCATAAAGTAATGTTAACATGTTAAAATAAAGGTCTATGTATTGTTCATAATATGCATGACTTTCCTTGCTATGTTATGTACAGCATAATCCATATACCACCCATACTGAAAGGGGTTATTAAACATGCTGGCTCGGTTTACTAGTAGCTCTAATACACTTCTGTAACAAGGGACTACTTGTAACATCAAAGCCTGAGGAGACATTAGCTCTTTTCCCCTATAGCCTCTGACCTGCAAGCTTTGCTTTTTATCTCTATATAAAAAGAAAATTTTTTTTTCAAAGAAGCCTAGCTTGAGTGTGGATATTTTCTCTGTTGTAGAATAAAAGCTTGTGAAAGTAATCTACGATGTTTCATCTTTGTTCAGGGTATTGTTTCTTTTGGGGCATTATGCCACTTTGAGAGTGAAAACTCTTGCTTTCAAATAATAGTGACTGGGAAGTGCTTTCTAAATCCTGAGGTACTTCTGTTTTCTGTAACCCTGTCACTCTGAAGAGGGGTGACTGAACATTTCTATTTTTGAAACAAATAAAGAGAGATCTGTTGTGTGAAAGAAAGAAACTAAAGTTTCAGAAATAATTCATACTCAATGGGTAAGAAACAAAGACAATGGGTAAGTACAAAGGGTTTGCAAGGGAGCCAACATCTGGCAAATCTAAACTATATTTTATCTTGCAGAGGTTTCAACTTGTTTTCTTGGTTTTGTTTTGGGGTTTTTTTTTCTTTGTGTGTTTGTTTTTTTTATATCATAAAGCAAGTGATCTTTCTCAGGTATATTTGGACTTTCAAATCTATGGTTTGGATCATATGTGCTGTGTATGATCTGCACAATTACTTTTGAGTATCTGCTCTCAGGCAATCATAGGGAACAGAGCACTGACTTAACCAAACATAGTGCAGTAAACGAAGGAATTTCGAGCACAAATGGGCATGTCATATTATGTATTGTTGGTATTCTGCTATTCATAAAGACATTTCAAGCCTAAGTTTTCTGTTGGCTTCCAATTAATTTCTTAAACTTACAGGCATTAATAGCGTTTCAAATACTGTACATTCCCATACTTGTATGATCTGAACTCCAAGGTTTCTAATAACATCTGAAACTTCTTTTTTACATATAAGTGTTTGTTGCAAGGACTCCTTAGAAACCTACAGGTAAGCAGAAGGAGGATGTCAGTTCTTTTTCTTTATTCATTTATAGTAAGTTATTTTAAAGGTGGGCCTGTTTGGTTTTGGTTTTTTTTATGCTATTTCTATGGCTAATGAGGGTATTATTTTTCTACGTTCCACAATTCATGGCTTCTGAGATGGCATTAAGCAGGATTCACGCTATGACACAACTCACAGCAGTGTTAGGTTAGTGGTTTAGGTCAATGAAAATTCACTAATTTCTTGGATGCTCTATAGGGGCCTTCTTATAGGCATGAATAGTTCCTGTAAGGTGAGTGTTTTAAAATTTAGCCTGAGCTTAACTACTTTTACGCATGTCGTCTAAAAACTACTTAGCCAGGGGAAGGATAGCACAATTTGGTTCTGATGTAATAGGATTGTTAAAAAAATTAAAAAGAAAAATGCTTCTCCGTTTTCTCAGTCACATTTAATGAGTAAATATGTCTCAATCTTTGTTCTGCTGGAAACCAGCTGGGTCACTTGTTTTGTTTTTTAATAAAGATACGTCATTTCATTATATTTGCAGAAGTGCAGACTAGCATGTATTTTGAAGCATAAATATTTATTAAAAGCATTACAGAACTGCATTAATGTAAGCTTTATAAAGTGTCCTATTGTATTTTTTTTAAGACATTGCTTTTCTTCTTTGTTTTTTTCAACTAAACAGAGAAAACTTTTTCTTGCAGAGTTAATTTTCTTAATAGGACACACATATGTGTTCTCAAGTAATGCATATGTTACCACTGTGTTTGACATAGTAGCAAGCATGTCCCTAATATACTTTCCAGGAATCTTGTAAGCAAAAGTTATATGGAAAAGGAGAGAATAGGGTTTGTGGGTTGTTTTTTATTCCAGGTTGTAATAATTAAAAATTTACAAAAATCAAAAGTTTTTCAAAATTTAAATGTAAGTAAATTATGTGTTACACTTGTTTAAATGGTTAGAAGAATCTGAAACCTTCTGCCAAAAATGAATATTTTAGCTTGCATTCAACTAATAATCCAACTTATTGTTACTTACATTTTACTCCTGTTTGCTACAGGTGAAATGGGTGAATATCAGACAGCTCATTATAGAGACAAGCACGCTGCATTCCCAAAGTAGGTTGACAGAACAAGTCATGGTATGTATTGTAATTTCAGTGCTATGCTACATCTTCAAGATGTCTGAGGTAAAATGCTTAGTAAGCACTGCATTGAGACTGTCAGGTTGCTTCATGGGGTGGTAATTAAATTGAGGCAGTTTTACCATTCATTTTGTGGAACTAAGCCAGAATTATGTGTATCCTAGAAATATTGTACTGTAGATTGCTGGTTGTAGCAGAAGAATAGGTTTTTTGCATATAAATTCTCTTTCATGGAAAACATCTTATTTCTCACTGTTTTCTCTCACCTCCGTAGGTTGTCGGGGAGGATAACTGTTCTGTCACTGAACTAGTTTAAGTCTGATGGAAACTGGTCATCAAAGACAGTATCTTGTTTAAGACTGCAGACACTTAGGCTAGAGTCCAGTTGTGACTAATGGAGAGAAACAATTGATGGTCGTTGTGGCCAAAGGTGGCATTGAAGTTTCCTGCCTGATTTACAGTATTCTCAGCCTTAATATAATTTAGAATAGCCAGGGGCTCGGTCAGCTGTGGTTGGCTATTGAGGTTGGCCTCAAAAATAAAGCTCAGTGTATGCGAGGAGGCAGTGTGACAAATGAAGAGGAAGCTTCTTCTGATCATTTCTGGAGACTAGCTTCATTATTAAAACGTGCTGAGCTGCCATGCTGGGTCAGACCAAGGATCCTGGCAGCTCAGCAGTCTGTCTCTGGCAGTGCTCTCATATTCTGCGCTGAAAATCAGTGCTTGTCCAGAGTGACACTGGCTCTAAAGTAGTGCTGTGGGTAGAGAGTATGAGCATTTCCAATGCCTCCTCCTCTGGAAATACTATCACTGGTGTTCTTCCAGAGACAGGGTGATGAGAATTACCGGTGGCATTAATGATACAGGCACACAATGGACTTACAGAGCAGCATGATTACATCCCTATATTCTTATCTGTTTATTTCCTGGTCACTCTGACCTTTCTAAAATTTCCAAGTTATCTAAAAACTTGTAGTAAGATAGGCAGAACAACAGTTGCTATTTTGATGTCAAAAGTATATGCAACTTTTCTAATTGCAGGTTTGATTCCATATCTTTTAGGATTGGAAAGGGTGAGGCTGATGTGTAAATCAGGCTGTTCTAGGATAAATTTCCTACAACACACAAATGAATTTGTTTTGTTATTTAACATCCTTTAAAAAATGATTTGTTTTAAGTTCAGTTGATATAATCAGGCAGCAAGAACCAAAACTGGGGGGAAATAGTACACACATGCAGAACAGTTTTTGAGTGTACAGTGTGGAGGAACTGTTAATGGGTTATACAATCACAGAATCGTAGAAATCAACTAGGTTGGAAGATACCTTTAAAATCATCAAGTCCAACCATTACACCAGGACTACCCTCATCTACATGCTTTTTGAAACTTCCAGAGTTATCTGGTTATAGATTAAATCTCCTGCAAAAGTGATAGTTAAAATTATCCTTTTTTGATTAAATGGTGGTGAATATGAATGTATGATGAGAAATGCTGAAAACCACTGTCATAAGATTCAAAGAATGATAAGAAAAAGTTCTAAGGAAGTACCAATTTCTTGAAAAAAAATTGCTAAAATACTTATCCCCTTCCAAATTAAAAAAAAAAAAAAAAGCATGAAGTACTTAAGTCAGTGTCCAATAGATACATTAACCAGAAAATTATACAATAGGAAGGAAGTTGCAACGGGCGACTTTACTCTATAGGCTGTCATCTCATCAGGGTCTACCTGTAGTCAGAAGAGAGAGAGAGATAGATATGGATTCCTATGGGGTAATTCACAATAAGAATCTCAACTGACTTGGCTCTCACCTTGAAGCATAATTTGTCATCAAAGGATATTGTGACAGGAGATAGTGCAGCTGTTTCATTAAGAAGATTTCTTATACCATTCTCTGATTATGAAAAGGCTTTATATTGTCGAAATCTGTGGTTTGCCGTTTTTTAAAATATATGTATGAATATGGCTCAAATATCTTGTACATCACAAATATGACTTTTGGAAGATATAATTTTCCTTATTAATTCATAATTTTGCTCTGATTATTGAATTTTGAAGCACTATCTCCTTGGTTTTTTTCACCTCTGATAAACTGTGCTATATAGATGTTCACATTCTTTGATTTTACTGCTGTTTTTCCTGGTTTTCTTGTTATATCTTGTGCCTGTCTGTTTAATCTATTATACTCTGTGAAGAACAGTTTTCACTTAGTCTAATCATTATGCTTGTTTTAGTTTTAAATAGTATATTATAACAGTTTTAATGGTATTACATTGAAGTCTCTAGTCCTACTCACTTGCACAATGTGGACTCCCATTGGAGTTCAAGAGTTACACATACGGGCATAAAGCTTTGTGTGCTAATTGCCTTAGTGAGCTTATTTTTGGTACCACAAAGATCTAATTTAAGGACCATTGCTCAGATCTGAAAACACATTTTTTGCTGGAAATAATTGTAAAAAAATATGTCTTTAGTTGGGAACCTGGAGAAGAGAATTTTGATTCAGAGTAAATTAAACATAAATCTTGAGTGATACATCTTGACCAGCAGTATTTTATGACTATCTGACAATCTTTTATACTCATGAAGCACAGAAATAACTTTTTTTTTTTTTACTAGTGTTTTCACAGTTGCAGTTCATAGCACAAAGCATGAAGCAGTCAAAGCAATACATTTAACTTTTTCCCCACATTCTGCTACTCGGAGGAAAGCAGATAGAATAACAGGCAGCAATTAGCTTTCATCCAAATTGTGTATGAAATTTTAGTCTGTAGACTCATTGCGCTTGTGTCAGCCTGAAGATTAAAGACTTCTTAACTACATAGTGACACAGCAGACTAAGCAAGCTGTGAAGGAGCTAGTGGGGTTTGTTGTATAATAACGGATCTGTGTATCACTGGAAGAGTCTGGATTTCTGTGTTCAGAAGTCTATCTCATTGTATCCGTGTGGTTTTGTAGCTCACTATATACCACTGGGGTCCACAGTGTAGCTGACACAATATCTGCAGTGCTGGAAACATATTATTCATTGAGATGACAGATGAATAAACCCCAATAAAGTTAATGTTTAGCCATCTTTGCTTTTGGCAGCATGCTGCAGCTTACTGATTAATTTGGTTGCTGCTTGCACATTTTTTTTTTACCACTGTGGATACAATCAATGGATTTCAGGTGTTCTGCAGTCAAGAAGACAGCTATGCATAATGTGCACTGAAATTATATTGAGATTATCCTTCAAGCTTTGTTATTAGCGCAAAAAGGAAAATATTCTAATGCGTTTATAAATAGAGACCTTATAAGCAGTGAACTCTATTCTCTTCCACTGGAGGAGTCGTAAATATATCCAAGCAAAAGTGAATTAACCTCATGATGATAACAATTTCACCTTCTCAACTTGGGACAGTTAAAACTGTCTTCAGCTGTAGCAAACTGCTGTCTTGGCTTTCCATCACCTAGTATCCAGGATGCCGATCTTGAATTAGTTACCCTTTATCACTGTAGCCTTCAATTACTTACTCCTTCTAAAAAACCTACCATTTTCATCTGATTTAAAATAATTATTTTCAGTTTCTAACCAGTCTGTGAGTTCCACTAGTTTAGTTGGAAATAAAACTAGGTCAGTTCTGTTTTGGGTCATAGAATCATAGACTCATAGGATAATTAGGGTTGGAAAGGACCTGAAGATCATTTAGTTCCAACTATCTAAATGGGTTAGCTGGTGCAGACATTACTGCTATAGCCTAGAAGATGTTTAGCCATCTGAAGACCTCCACATGCCCTTAGACGGGACAAAGGGAGGTTCCCAGCAGGCTCACTTTCTCAGTTAGGAAGTTAGGAAGTTAGGAAGAATGCTAAATTGGAAGTTTAGTTAATAACATTTGATATTTTGGTTTGATGCTTTTTTTCTCTATTTGTTAAAGACTTCTTCTGAAGGATCCTGAGTTAAGGGATGGGAAGAAGAAGCAAAATTATAGTACATGTCCTTTATTTGAGCCTAGATTTCTGGAAAGGAGAAAGGAGGGGCAGATTCAGTGGATATCTCCCTTTTTTTTTTAATGTAATTTCATTTTTCCATATTAATTTTCCAAATATTTATGACTTTGGATAATATTTCAAAGAACCAGCTTTGCACAGATATTGTCAATGCGGGTAATGGCAATAGGAGCTCAGTGGTTAAATAGGCTTAGAAAAATGTTTTGTGGAGTAATATGGGATATACTATGATGGGCATCATGGTAGCAGATCCTTTACTTGTGTCTCAAGCTTGACTGAACTGTGTAAGAATGGAAGTCTATACTTTTGTATCTTTTAAGTCAAAGAGGTAGCAAGACATACTGGCAGTAGTACTCTTGCGTTTTGATACCCTCTCTGAAACATTGTCAGTGTTAGGTTTTATGGTTCATTTAGCTTCCCTTCACATAGCCCCTTACATAATTTACCCAATAGGGATCAACTAGGAAGATGGTTAGAAATACTGTAAGCACTGTTGCACTTTAAAAAGTATTCAAATGGTGTCAGATCGTGTTTTGTCCTGACAGATACTTTGCAGACAGAAATCAATTAGTCTGATAGTGTTACTCTTCTCCAAAATGGAATTGTATTGGACCAGTTTGATGTCTTATAATTGCATACTATATGGTTCTTTGACGTTTATCTCTCCCTCAGTCTACGAATTTGAAACCATCAGGAAGATGTGACATTGGTATGAGTATTCTTCAGTAATAAGAACAGTAATTGTTATAGGGAGACTTCTTAATCTTGGGTCTCTCAAATCCCTTTTAAAGACAGCAGGTACTCTCCAGAACAAGCATTAACAAGAAGAGATTATGAAGTAACCTGTTGTTCTTTATATCTCAGCATCTCATGACAAAGCTTACTATCAGTCAGAATGTTCAGGAGCCAGTCAGTACAGGGAAAAAAAAAAAAAATCAAACGTGACTTAGGAGCTAACGTTTAAGTACAAAATAGTGGATTCATTTTAAAGCTGAATACTGAGAACTGTTACTGAAAAATTTATATTTATGTAAGATGATTATATGAAGCAATCATAAAAGTAAGAAAAAAATAGCAGAGGCTAAAAAAAAAATGGAGCTGCACAGTGTAATGCAATCAGAAAGAAATTCTGCTTCCTCAGAAATCAAAATCCAAATCTTCATCTTGCCAGATTTGTGTTGCATTGAAACTTTCTTCTTCATTCTACCCCTTATCTTCTTCCCAGCTGTGGCAAAGATGGTGAAAGTGAGTTAGTCATTCATATTATAAGACTCTAGCACTGCTATCAGTATGACTTCATGCATACATGCTTGTGCTCATGTGGGCTGCTTAGCATTTACAGGGAGAAATCCTGAAGCTGAATGCTCAGGATCTAACAGAGCTCTCCCAAGTGCAATCACAGTGGAGCAAAACTCTCTGTTATTTTCAGCTCTCAAGCTTTTATGAATTTCTGGATTCAAATACCAACCAGATTTTGTTAAAAATAAGATTTTGTTACCTAGTCCTGTCAATTTCCATTAAGATCGTGATGAAGAAATATTTGAGTAAAGCACATCTATGTCAACCTTTGTGAGGTCGAGAATTAAGCATAGGATAAGTCACTGCATTCAGATGATAAAGATCACTTTCAAAAGCAATTCAAGAAAAGATTTTTAAAGGTATTTAGATGCAGAGGTGTACTTAGCACTTTCTAAGAGCACACTAATCTCAGTGAGTGTTAGGGACTTAACCCTTCTTCACTCTACTTTGAAAAAAAACCATCATCTGGGTGCCTATATCTGCCTCTAGGTTCCTAAATACTTTTTAAAAAATCTGGCCTTTGATAACCCAAATCCCCTTGATTTTCAGTAAGGCTTTTCATCCTGAACTCTAGGTCCTCATAGGTTTTGAGGGTCTAACTCTCTTAAAGTAAAATGTGAGTTAAAGGCCCAGATACTTTTGAAAAGCTGAACCTTGGTTCTCAAGTCACTTCTGAAAATGAGTGTTAGACTACTAATCCCCTCAGGTACTTATGAAATATTTTCCTGTCACCTCTGAGAAACTGTTCTAGAGGTATTTACTTTGTTAACCACTTGCTTTGTCCTGAAGTTTGTATAACAAGTTTGTGTAATATTTATTAAAATAGAGAATAAAGTAGAGAATTTTTTTCAAAAAAGAATGACAAAATTCTTTTTTAAAATGAAAAATTATAAATATAACAAAAATATATATTTATGCTTTCAACAGGCAAATGTGTTTTTAAATGGAATTTTAAAAAAATGGAATTTTTATGATAAAAAAGCAACAGTAAAAGCAGTGATTATGTTTTTCATAGTTCATTTGCCTCCCTTGCCCTGCAGATCTTGTACAGAAGGAAAATGAGATCCCTGGTGAAGCCTACAATGTCATTGACTCTGAAGAAGGACTCAGAGACCCATTGGTGTTTAATGACCCTTATTGGCCTCCACAAAAGAAACTGGTATGATCTACTAAAACAGACATATGGTTCTTTAGGAATATAAAGACACACTGCTTTCTTCATGGGTAAACATCGTATTCATGCATTTCTAAACACTGCCTGGTTTTAGATGACTGCTCTTAAAATGGCAGTCTGAATTTGGTGGAGAATTGCATTCATTTTTCATTAGTACTTGACCAACAGTGGTGATATTTTACCAATACTGCAATCATGCAGTTTTAATGCTTTTATTAGTCTGCAGTATCTTGTCAAACTAAACAAAATACAACAGATGATAACTAAACAATACCAGCTAGACTGTTTAATAGTGCATGGGCACATTATACTCCTCCATGCTCCTTACAAAAGATAGAATTGAATCTGGCCATTTTTTTGAAAAGTTTTATGAGAAGTAACAATTTACGTATACCAAGATTCCTCTTGAAAATCAATTCAGCAGCTTGAAGTAATGTACTTGTCATATGGGAATATTAATATGAAAAAAAAATGACATGGATATATCAGAAATTAAACTAACTGCCTGTGTAGAGATACTAAAAAGCACAGTGATGAGTACTCTGAAACATTTGCTGCAAGATCCTACGACTCTATAGTCATCAGAGATGTAAATGTTAATTTTTTTTTTAATAGCATCCCAATGATTTAGAAAAAAACTGTAATATATGTAGGCTGCTACATTACACATACCACATGCCATAGCCTTTATGTTGCTGGCTAGAATCCTCTTACACAAGTGCATGGTCCAGCTCAGATTTTGCAATACTTCAGTGGGAGGAATGGAAAAGATGCATCTGCCTCTCTCACTGTGACTGCAGGGGGCAGAAAAATGTTTAGTGGGGAATGTCAAAAATTCTCAGTTCACTATGATGGGGATGATGAAATGCAAGGCATTTAGAAGTGCCCTGTAAAGGAGCCAAACCATTTATTCTTCCTGGCAAGGCAAGAGAGAAGCAAGAGAAACTGTGGTTCTCTGGGTCCCAACAAGAGCTTTTTACCCAATTCTGCTAATGTAGAGGGCTTTAGGATGGATTTGCATTCACTTCTGAACCTCTTTGCACTACTAGAGAGTTTAAACTTGACATTCCCAGTCAGAATTCATTCTCTGGTCTGCTCCCCTGGTAGTACAATTGGCTTCTCTTGAACCATCAAAGAGCAGTGCTTCAGCAGCCTATCAGGTTCAGGAACCAAACTTGAGTGTTGCTTGTCCACAGTATTCAGGAAGAATCAATTGACCACCTTGCCTCTTTTCTGAATTGTTATCCTTTACATGATAGTGTAGACAACTATAACAAAACATACTACTTTGAGAGGATCATGCCAGCTTCAAGTATGTTGGTGAAGACCAGTGGGATGTGTAGAAGCGTTTATGAGACACTACTGCAATTTCCCTTTACAAAAACTAGTATTGGTTTATTTTACTCACCAATTAAGGGTTATCCAAAGAATGTAAATCTATTTGATACTGCAATTCAGTTTAGAAGAAACTAAAATTTGAATTGGAGTTCTATTTTTCATCGTGTATGCTCTGCACAGGCATTAAAAATGCCAGCAAAACAGATGGCATAATGATTTTGGTAGCTTGGCTGACTTACCCCACTTGTTTATTTCTCTGTGTTGATTTCATCTCTTACATTCCAAAGATGGATAAATGTATTAACGTGCAGTTTACCCACAGGTCAGGGGATCTTTCTCATTTGACCTTGAAAACAGGTGTTCTGTCTGCTTTGCATGGATAATTCGTAAGATTTAGTGTCTCACCTCTGTATGTTTGGCATTCAGAAATGTTGTTTCCCCAAATGTGTCACTGTCTTCTGCACCAGTTATGTAGGGCACCACTGCTGAAAGCTGTTTACACATTTATGGGGATGGATATGTGTCACATAGTGGGTTTTGGTTCTTTAGCATGAAGGCACTATATGCTGGTAACATGATGAAAGTCTCCCATTTTCATGAGTAGAACATACTGCTTGTATGTTCTTTGGGCACAATCAAATTGTGTTGATTGAAGAAAACAGTGAAATAGCATAATGTATGTACATACATGTGTTTGAATACAAAATACACAAGTAACAAAAGAGTCATAACTGAGAGAAAATAAATAAAGGGCAAGGATAATAACATAAGATTGAATTGCACACTGTTAGAAGTTTGTGTTAGCTGAATTACCACAGTGGTATCTATTGTGCAACTCTGCTTCAGTATATACAGAATAGAAAAGCCAGTAAACACAATTGATGCAAAATACAATTGCTCACCACCCACCGATCGATACCCAGTCCAACCCAAGCCATGATCTGCCCTTCCGGGTAACTGCCCCCAGTTCATATACTGGGCATGATCTGCTGTGGTATGGAATACCCCTTTGGCTAGTTTGGGTCAGGTGTCCTGTCTCTGCTTCCTCATGGCTTCCTGTGTCCCTCCTCACTGGCAGAGCATGACAGACTGAGAAAGTCCTTGATCGGGGTAAGCGCTCCTTAGCAACAACTAAAAACACTGGTGTGTTATCAGCATTGTTCTCAGACTAAAGTCGAAAACAACAGCGCTGCACCAGCTATTAGGAAGGAGAAAAATAATTGCTTCACCTGAACCCAAGACAATGAGCTGCAGAGCTTGTGCTAGCTAGGGGGCTAACAGAACAAAAACCTGACAGTGCTTCAAAGAGCTTGCAGTTAAGAGTAAGATAATCGAACAGCTGAATGCTATCAGGATACACCCCTTCACATCAGGAGGCAGTGAGACAGTATTGATCTGCTGGGTAAGCAGCAATCACATCTCATCAGTAGCTTAGTCATTATTGAGTCTTTAGTCATCATAGTAAAATAAAGAATTGATACAGGACCATGTGTAGACATATATTCACAAAAACTAAACAAGTTGTTCAGCTCCACTTTGCAGGACTGTCTTTTCTGTCTAGACAGAGAATATTTGTGAAGATATGTGGATGGGAACACTCATAATACTTTTTCTCAGACATAATGAAATATAAAGGCATTTTAATGACAGTTCATATTCTTGAAACCATAGCTACAAAACAACTCCAATTGACACAAGACATCACTGCAATCGAGTTAAGCTGTTACCGTAACCTACTGTTACTATTTCTGTTTCTCCTTTCTTAGTGTAAGTGCAAGCATGGGTGCTGATAGATGGTGAGCCTCAACAACTGATCCAAATTAAAACGAATACAGTAAGAAGAAATCTAGGAGTTTTGCTGCATAAGTCCGATCAGTTCATCGTGTCTCTACAAACCTGCTTATGCCACCAAAGGAAAAGAGGTAGAAGATTCAAAAACCGGATCTGTCACCTCTTAGGAGCAGCACTAACCTTTTCTAGCTAGAACTATGGGAGTAGTGCCTAGAACTGCGGGAGTAGAAAAGCTGTCCCCAGAAATAAGACAAATAGTGATAACAGTGTATTGCACCCTAAGAAGGAGAGTGTTGATCTTGAGCTTATTGAGCATCTGTACTTTTCATGAAGTTTTTGACACAGTAGCATCAGTAGCTGGTTAGATATTTTTAAGAGATTCTCAAGAGTGTATGGTTTTTGTTATATTGTGTCTGTCCCTGTTAAAAGATATACTGAATACTGTGCATAATTATGTTCATTCATAAGAGAAAAGTATTAGGACAGCTGCTGAGAGTCAGTTAATTTTATGAGGAGATAAGATTTTTTTTTAGTTGACAGCAAAGTTAAGAAAGATGGGCTTGACTGGAAAATCTGAGTCCTGGCATGTAGCTTTGTCCTTGTGCTAGTGGTTAAAAGTGGCATCTTATTCTGCAGGGATTTGGGAAACATACTGCCCTGGTTAAGCCCAGGGGCTATGAAGGAGCAGCATTGCTAGTGTCCATGGGCAGCATGAATAAACTGGCTATGCTCCTTGCAGTTGCTCCTGCTGCTGAAGAGGAACCTGTATTCAGCCTTTTCTCTCTCTTTCTAGTCCTTGTGCTGAAGTTGCTTCAAAAAGTAGTCTGTATATGTATGCCACAATTTGGGCTTTTAGAGTCCTGTGTGCTTTGGAGTGAAATGTCCTGGTTATGCTCAGCCCCCAACGGTGTGCCCACTGAGAGCAAAAGATCTGTCACCTGCAGTCCCTCCTGCCTTTCACTGGTGAACCAAAGTGAACCACCTCCTGCATCTGAGTCCACATGAAGGTATGCTGGCGTCCCTGGTGTGCTGTCAGTGTGCAGGTACCAGCATCCAACAAATGCGCCCCAAACACAGCCAGACCACAGGGGCTGCAGAGGTCTTCTGATCAGAATGTGAATACATTTTATTTCCTCCATAAGTACTTGGAGAATAATGCATACAAATTTTTCTTGAACAGCATGGTCACAGGCTAGACTTGAGCATTGCTCCCCACCATGCCCTTTCCAAAGAGTGAATCAAAACCAAATGCATTGTACTTTCTGCAAATGATTTCTCTTCTTTCTGTTTCCCCTCCCCTCCCAGCTGACACAAGGTGACTATAGGGGGCAATGCAACCTCACCATACAGCCTGTGTACATCAGTTACATACCACATTAATAGGTGGAAACTTTCAAATCTCGGGTTTTACTTCTTGCTTTTGAATAATTTCTATCACCGTAGAATTAAACTATATTGTTACTCAGCCTTTGTAAAATGGAGGTTTCTAACTTCAGATAAGCTTCTATTAGATTTTTTTTTGTTTGTAAGTGAAAGTTAATAAATAGTGATTTGATTTCATATTACTAATTCAAATTAAAATCTAAAATAAAGACATAAGAAACAAACAATTTTGAAATTCATTTGACATTGATCACTAAGCAGAACTACTCTGTCTGTATGTATCTCATATTCATGTAATTCAATCTATATGCCTGTCAATATTTCTGATGCAGTTTAATTTCTTTAAATCAGTTTCTTTCTGACATAATGCAGGCTTCCAGAATGTATACCAATGCAGAGTGTGTAAATGATACTCCTATATTTTCCAAGATTTTGTGAAAAAAATGTTTATGTATTAAAAATCCTGACTGAAA